CGCTCCCTGTTATGATAAACCAGTTTTGCTCCGCCCGCTATCGCGCGCATCACACGGCAGGCTTTAGTGAAACTGAAAGACCCATGGAATATCAGCATGAGGGCCCTCCATTAGCCACCTCACTATTGAATGTGTTAGACCTTTCCCAGTTTCGCTGAAGTCCATCGAGAATACGCGTGATAACGTCTGGAGCTGAACTGGTATTTATCTCACAACTGTAAACATCCAGCATTCTTCTTGAATTCAGATAATTTAGCGGTGAATAGGATTGCTGTCAGTCTCAAAATTAAAATGAAATATGCCTATTTACATAAGTGAGGAGCTAAGGCTTATCATTTATTTACATTCACCATTATTTAGAACCCCGAAAGGATTAGCGGTTAATGAGTTTGGGCTTTCTTGATAGGAAATGAAAGTTATCATTTGCTGAAGACTTGATTGAGTTTCATGCAATAGACTGCTATTAAGTAAGGCTGGTCATACAATGATACAGTGTGCACGTACCACTACAAATAGAATTTGTAAGTAGGGACGCTCTAGTGTCAGCGCAAGCTACGTAACGGAATCGACGACTTTTGCGTTCTGACGCGCCTTATCAGCCTTATCAGTTGTAACCACTTTCATCACCCACCAACAATGTCCCCGTCCCACCCCACATAACACCTGTGAGTATGGTTGCTCTGGTGTCAACGCGAGCTGGGTAACGGAATCGACGACTTTTGCGTTCTGACGCCCCTTATCAGCCCTTATCAGTTGTAACCACTTTCAATCACCCACCAACAATGTCCCCGTCCCACCCCACATAACACCTGTGAGTATGGTTGCTCTGGTGTCAACGCGAGCTGGTAACGGAATCGACGACTTTTGCGTTCTGACGCCCCTTATCAGCTTCCTTTCATGTACCACCATTGTCCCGGGACCACCCTACATAACACTTGTAAGTATAGACGCTCTAGTACCAATATGAACGACATCGTATGCCAGTAAGAGGTAAGTTTAATAAAAATAAGTTATTTCTTCCATTCCCCCCCCCCCCCCCCCCCCCCCCCCCCCCCCCCCCCCCCCCCCCCCCCAGATATATGGATGATTTGCTAGTAATACATAACCAAACCGAGGATAATATTGACAAACATCTAGCAGAAGTGTACATGAATACACTTGAATTGAAAGAAAACACATTTAAGTGAAACATCTAGTAATTATCTGGATCTAACAATTAGTATAATAAATGACAGAGTTGTAACTAGATTGTATAACAAAACAGATGATTTTCAGTTCAAGGTCATCAGATTCCCACACAATGACACAAATATCTCCATAAACAATAAAGGTTCCGTCATATACACTGAAACACTTAGAATAGCTAACACTTGTTCCGTTTTTGACACATTTACTGAAAAACTAACAGAATTCATAAGAGTGTTACTAGGAAATGGTTACCATGAGAACTTTATTATAACTAATATAGTTAAGTGCATTTATAAAAATAAGTTTATATGTTACAAATTTTCAATTGCTAATAATTATAAAAATATTAGTAAGTTAGTGGAAGGAATACTTCGTCACTAAAGTGCTATCTAATTGTTAGTGGAACAATTACAAACACCCACCTTTTACACTTTATAGTTTTACATTTTTAATCAACTTATTTTTCATTCATTTAGTCAATATACAATTCATTTCATTGCATGCTCCTCTGCATGAAAGTACGTTACATCAAGGTTTATTCGTCTTTCCCCTGTGTCTTTATTTCGCCAATCCCAACTCACTGATGAGCTCCGGGGATTGACGAAATAATAAGGTTCGTCTGAGGAAGGAGCGAAACGAACCGTATCTATTATTTTGTTTATAATGGTTTTCTTTCTTAATGAAACAAAAACGAAATTGGCGATGCTCGCTTTCTAGCCCCTCTTATCAGCTATTATCAGTCGTTATCAGTTCCTATCACGTACCACTTGTGTCCCCATCCCACCCCCTATAACATATGTAAGAACCATGGCGCTATCGTTGCTGTGACCCGAGCTACGAATTTCGTGACAACACACACACACACACACCTACACACACACAGACATACTTAGCGAATTATATATAGTAGGAGGAATAACCTAGTTCACAGAAAATCGAGGGATTTCACACCACGAAGGCCATACATGGTATTTTGATGAGCCGGGTAACCCTTGAGAAACTGAGTCATCTTAGCCTTCAGTGAGGGGCTGGGCGATTGCCAGCATTTGAGTAGGGTACCGTCCATGATCCTACCCAAAACCAAATAGCAAAGAGCCCAGGATTGCCCACGAGCGGTCCTGTAAGCAGCCCACAGTGATTCCTAATAGTGATAACCCCAACATTTTTGCCAAATATGGATGGATTGCCTAATAGAAAGCCTCCAAAAATGCTTTAAAACCAAAAACGGGGGGAAGATAGCAAAAACTTGCCTTAGCTGCTGTTTCTCTCTGCTGTTGCTCTTTGATTCTTTCTTGTAACTGCCGGCGGGTGACTTCCATTCGCTTTATCATTTCACACAGCTCGTCATATTTTCTGTCCCATTCGCCCAGCTCTTGATGCATCAGAAGCATTTCGTTCTTCATTTGTTTTAAATGGTGCTGAAATAAGCCCACTGAAATCTCTAGCAGGCTCAATTAGTCTCTAACATCGAGATGTCGGAGCAAAGCAGAGAAGGGCAAGAGCTAATAGAGAATCTATACAGTTTTCACGAAACTCACGATAAAAGGGGAAGTACACCTTCATGAGATGGTTAAGGAAGAAAGAAGACGGTAAAAAATCGAAGGAATCGATAGCAACATTAAAAAGTACTACATCAAGATTTTCCAGGCCTGAACTGTAGCAGAAGGTTATGCAGAGGTGAGTGACCCCCAGTGTTGGTGAAGGAATGACATCAGTTGGCGTTGAAGTGAAGTTACGAAGAAAAGGCAGCCTATCAGGAATTCAAGATAGTGGTGGTTAGCAATGCGAGACGAGGATAAAACCACTACAAATGGCTCAGAACACGAGAATCGGCACCCTCTCCTTGCCCACTGATGTAATCCTGAGCGGTACTGCTCTCTTCAAGGTTAGCTTTTGTGATGATGATGATGATGTGAGCAACATTGACCTGCCCATTTGATTCGGCCTGATTAGTTGGGGATAGTTTCCGAATTACTCAGAGGAGGATTCCACGATAAGGACGAATGTCGAAGAGTGTGAAGCTTACATAGTAAGAGACCGACCGATCTTCTTTGGCTGCAGACCTAACGCAGTTCGCATCGAACCATATCCCTTGCCGGACTGGTGTGGCCTCCCCTGCGGCTCACCTGGCGCATTATCAGCGCGGTGCGGCTCTCCCTCTCTTCCTCATATTGTCTCGTATCTGAGCCTCTAACCGTTTAGCAGAGAGAGCATTAGCGTTGAAGAGGGCAGCATCCGATGAGAGTCATGAGTGCGCAAATCAACGGGCAATGAAGGGTCCCATTTTCGGGTTTTAGACCATTTTCTCGGTTTTTTTTCTTTCATGCATCACTGACCATTTCTAACTTAATTTCCAATAGGCTGCCTTCCCATAGGAAGATCCGTCCTTACTAAGGAGTCCCGAACTATAGGCCACGTGGCGGTGCCAATGACCAACAAACCCTACCATAAATACCATCACATATATTCTTGATATATAAACGACTGCCAAAATAATTAGGCATTTCAAAAAATGTTCAACTCTTCACATCACTTTCTTAAAATGCAGGACACTCTTTAAGGTTAAATATGAGGAGTCTGTAGTATGTACCAACTTTGTGTTCCCTTTTCCTTTGCTTGATTTCCACAAGTTTATTGTCAACTCGTGTTCGCATCTGCATGAGCATGTTGATGTTATACTCGATATCATCAGAAATAATTGCCTGAAAGCGTTCCGGTGGCGTATAGGCGAGATCCTCGTGCCAGCATCTGCATTTGATAATAATTGATCGCTGGTAATCAGAAGCATTTTTGTAGAAGTTCCCCACACACCTTTTGCTTTTCTTCTCTTAGATATTCCACCCATCTTGCCACCCTCTCAGCGAGCTCGGACCTCTCTCAGCCGCGCTTTCTCTACGTGATCGGTGAGTTCACTGATTCGAGCGGAAAGCTGAAAATGGTGATGCGATCTCATGGACAGAGGCGAATGCATCACCCAGGCATGACTGCTGGCATTGCTTCAGAGGTGACAGGAGATGTTGACGAATCCACAGTGCTGTGATGACATTAATAAAAAACTATAAAAACTCATGAAACTGCCAGGAGAAAGGACTAAGCAAAAGTCGTAGGATTACGGTGCTGGTGGAACAAGGACTTGAAGCATCCACGTCTAACACGGTCCGCTTTATGCCAACAAGCTTTGACTACGGGACCGACAGGAAGCCCGTCACTCGGCGAGAAGGCTGAGATGCGAACGAGATGCAATGCGTACTGTTGCGATTGCCGCGTCAATTAAATGAAATGCATTATATTACGTCCACATCACACAGCACGTGCTACGACGCGTCCACGTCTCTGCCCTCTCGCCGCGAGACGGGCCTCGTGTCGGATACCCCTTAAGCTATTGTTGGTACACATGTGTACCACTTTCGTAGTCAAGAGCACTTCCATAGTTTCGAAATTTACTGAGACAGGAGCGCCCGGTTGAGAGTAGAGTTGTGCACAAATAGAAAGTATATGGGTCTTGATCTTACAACAAACAGTCACAAGTCAAAGCGACTACCCTTGGATGGGTTGATGACGTAACTCGTGCCGCAGGTCACTGGTCAATGGGCAACAGCTCCCAAAAAGGTATTTCCTAAGTTTTGCGCCCTCTTAATATTAAAATGTGTATTGGTAAATGGAAATTGAATTGCCACTGCATATTTCAAAAAAATCTTCATTTGGGCAGAGACAGTGTGGTGACGAGAGGCACCGCTACCGCATGCATGGCCCGTGGTCTTAATACCAGGGACGGTAGTAAACTAGCCAAACTTGCACGTTAACGGGCAGCTTTAATGAGCACGTAACGTGGAGGTGCAAGTTTTTCCGATGATGGTGGAAATCGCTTCTATGGCACCTAGGAGACCTATTTATGAAACTCTGAAGAAAGGTTCCCAGGTGAGCTGCAGCTCCGAGGTGCTTCACAGGCAGAGTGATGGATGCTCACCATTTCCACTATGGCAAACTTCCAATGGCTCAATGGGAACGTTCCACGCTGCCGCTGGCAAGGTTGCTGGATCAACACCGCTTGCAGTCTAAGATTTGCAAACAACATCCGTTGCTTACCTGTCATCATCTCTTCCAGTGGTGTGATCGAGTGATCCCTGGTGCAGTGGCAAAAACCCGGCTATGAATCCTACCATCCAGGGTTCAAGTCCGAGAGTGGCGCAAGTTTTGCAGGCAGTGTGGCGAGGCTGGTGGTTTCAAGAAGGGTCATGTCCGTGTTTCCGCTGCTTGTTCCTCGTCAATGGGAAAAATCACCACATTTGATTGCTAGTTTAGGGTACTTTACTACCGTCCCACGTCAAGTCCATCGTACTCTAACCAAATTTCTGTAGATGATTAAGTGTTGCAAGAAACCAAAATTGTTATGCAAAATACATCGATAACGAATTTTGAAAAAGTCCTATCCTCATAGTTAAGCCAAGGTCAGGCATTGCACTGGAAAAAATTTGGAATCACCAATTCTCCTTATCTCTCCCCTATCCTTCGCTATTATGGACCACGTCTTCATAGTGCGACGGAGTCTTACCTGACATATCTCATTCAGTTGTTCTGTTCTTAATCTCTCTTGCACCTCGATCTCTCTTTCAGTACAATTACAACAGTTCACTAGGTCTTGGTGAATTTCTCGAAGATCACTTTCCTAAAATTGATACAAGGTTGGCAATGAGGCTTCCAGTATTTCTTCATCATGTAGCACGCTGAAAAGCCAAAAGGGGCGAAAGACAGCACATGGACAATTCCTACGTTGAACGCGTCTCAGCCAATGCTTTTTCACTCCACAAATAATCTAGAGATTTTAACCCATTGAAAATGGGTTGAAAAAAAAGGGCAGGTGGCACGGTTTACTTGATGTTGAAAAAGGGAGTCTTCCTATTGTACAGGGGAAGCAGATGCCTACGAAACCGGGATGTGGCGCTTTCACGGTTGAGAGTGCACAGAGTGCGAGCCTGTAAAAGCGCATAGAGCTTTACCTCCATCTCTGGACATTTCCTTGCCTTGTCCGCCCTCCGATCGGCTGCTCCAGAAAAGTGACACTGGGAGTAAGCCCAGGAGAGGGGGTGGAACGCTAGGGAGAACAAAAATTGCTCAAATCCTTCTCCTCAGAATTTCTTCAGCTTCCTGAGGCTTAGTTGCAAGTGCAGTAGCCTGTTCAGTCACTTGAATGTCTAGCGACAAAAGCGCCTCAGACAGAATATGCGCAGCGCCTTTGACGCTGCCACTATTGCAAAGATTAATCTAGCACCTACAGTTAGCCGTTATTCCAGCATTCAGAGATCAATGCTGTAGCCAACAAGGGCCGTCCTCGAACATCGGTCCCACCCATTCTATCGTAATGTCACTGGCACTTGTGTACTAGGACGTATCGTGGCGCACGGCCCCCAAAACTTCCGGGACCTTCATAGTTTCTTGTACGCACAAGCAAGAACTCAAATACTCAGAGCTTCCACCCCATGCGCAACATTGAAAATGTTGGGCTAGTGTCAGAGTCCGCGATCCGTCGCGCGATTCGCTTGAATCACGTACGGACCACAGAAATCACAAGTGCCCCAATCAATACTGCGCGGTGCTCTCTAATCTCGCTACCATTTCTGCATGGTGATGGTTGACTGACGTGTTGCGCCGCAACGTTCCCTCTTTAGTACACCAGTGTCCACAAAATGAAAAAAAAATGAGGAAAAACAAAGTTTCTCAATTTTTCCCTTTTTTCGTGCTGCCAAAAGCAAAGTAAAGTGACTCTGTGTGTTCATGTTAACGCAAATAAGACTCTGTGTGTTCATGTTAACGTTTCACTAATTCCTAAATAAGTTCGTAATTACTCTCATCACTTACTGCTACAATTAATTTAATTAGTGCTACTTACGCTAATTGGCCCCTTTTCCAGTCTGCAGAACGTCTTCGCAATAAACTCCTCTGTTATTTTCTGAATATATCGATTCACTTGAAAGGGGAGAATAGCCAATTTTAACTGTTCTCAACGGTCGACCTCATCATAACTTTCCGCTAGCTAACGATGTCAGCAAACCAGCCCTTTCAGCGTTTCTGCTGGGGCCATATGCTGAATGTTGTTGAGGGGATGGGTTACCCGACGGTGGACGGACTACTCCAACTCGTTCTTAACCGCCCAGTTTCTATGCGCACTCTTAGACTAAAAAGCCTGAATAGAGACAACCTGGGAAGAGAGTTCACCACTGCGTCTTACTCCCTACCGTACCGCCCGAGTGAAGTGTCCATCGACCCCAACCCTAGCCAACATTCAGCATACGGCCAAGAACTCCCTAAAGGCTGGATCCGCTACTCCTGCATACACTTAAACCGTGAAAGAAACGGGCGGAAGGCACTTTTCTCGCTACTAATTTCAAGGCACCTAGCCAACCTAAAATCTAGACGCCCCTAGAAATTCTCTGGTGGATGAGTGTCATGATGGAGAGAGGTCTATCCTTGCAGCCTAAAGTAACTTGTCATTGAGAGGCATACCCACCTTTCCAGAGTCCGAGGGACAAGTCATTATGACGTGAAATGAACCCTTCCAAGTGATCAGGTGTTTACGAAGAATACCAATAACATGGCTGCTGATAAGAGTCTGATAGACGTATTGGTTGCCCTATCGCGTCTATCAATCCATCCTGAATTTTCGAATAGCCCAATCGCCCCATACAATCGCCCTATACAATCCCAGCCCTATACAACTCCTCTTGAGAAACTCATAAACCGTTTTTCATTTCGGAAATTGACTGTTCATCAGTTGACATTGGTTTTATCGGCCCTTGTTCTTTGCACTGCTCACTGTCTTATGCTTAATCTGTTCGCTTTTTCTATTGAAATGGAAGCTCACAAAAAGCCAAAGGTGGCTATTTCTGTGGGATAGTTCTCTTTTTCTGTGTTTTTTTTACTTGTATAACAAATTTTTATCTTACCGCCGGGAATGCAGCTCGGGAACAAACTAAAACTAAGAACATGCAGGCTCTAGCAAGTGAAAGGATACTTTCACCTCGAAAAATTGTTCTAAAAAGCTATTTTAGTGATAAGTAATGGTGACGGGGCGAAGCTCTCAGAACCATTCCCAATTTAGTATTGACCTCCGAAATAAATAGTAATATTGCAAACAGTTGAGGGATTGTTTCACAAGAATGCTGGGTTGTGAACAAAACTTTCGCCCCAGGCGGGACTAGAACCCGCACCTCTCGCTTTCCGGGCAAGTGCGCTACCAGTTACGCTGTGAAATGGTGCCCCGGTAGCGTAACTGGTAGCGCACTTGCCGGAAAGCGAGAGGTGCGGGTTCGAGTCCCGCCTGGGGCGAAAGTTTTGTTCACAACCCAGCATTCTTGTGAAACATTCGCAAGGCGAACTGCGGCCAAAAACAGCAGTTAACAAACAAAAACAAGTCAAAAAGTTGAGGGATTGTTTTAATTCCAGCTCCTCATCGTCTTCCCTTGATGCAGCATTAGATGTTAGTGTTATCTGCCATGGTCTGGCGATCACTGTACCATGAACTCTGGTCACTGAATCCATTATTTATTTTCCTTCGTCGTCACTTAAGATTACGTGGCGTGCTCATTAGCCACCTCTCCCCACCCCCTACTCCCCTCCCACTAGGCTAAGGTATATGTACGCATTACCATTAGACAGTTTCCTCAACACATTTGTAAGGCAAGAATGGTCACGTGACCCATACACAGAAGAGGGGGTGATATGATAAGGGACAGTCTACTTTCGAATTCAAAATGGAAGTAATCAGTAACATTTTCTGAAGTTCTATCCGAATTCTGGAATGGGGGAGAATTTGCATGCTAGAGCTAGTGCTTCCAGAAAGTTATCCACAAGTGAATCTGGTCAAATTACGTAAATTACGGAACATCTTCACTGAAGCAATCTTACGGTAACTCTCCATGAGCCTGACGGCGATGGATGACATCATTTTCTGAAGTCTGCGGGTGCAGTGAGGGAGGGCTTGCCTACTCATAGAGGGACATCTGCGGAATATTTCGGCGAAACTCTCCCTATAGCGGTTTGGAAGGGATTAGCGGGAAAAAGGTATGATAAGTATAAGGTTGTCCCATAATTAGTGAATCACTTTACATTTATTGTTATTAAAAATTCCAAGAAAAATGGTGAAGGCGTGAAACATGTTTTGCGAAGTAGTACCCACATTATCCTACCTGAGCAATTACTCAGCCCATTTACATGCTGCCTTCCGTGGCTGATACTTCAATTTTTCTGGAACCTATTTTTGAGCTCCCTTCTTCACTTCTGATTAGGATCTTTCAAACGCCAAACAACGTAGAGGATCAACCAGCAAACATTAGGCAATGCTTCCTTAACCCATTCGCGAACAATGTCAGCCACCGGTGGCTGACGCGAAGATGTCCACTTCGGACCATGTCAGCCACCGGTGGCTGACGGGCTTTAAAGGGAATTTTTGAAAACAAAAGGAGGTCTCTGGGAGATTTTCTTTGCTGTGAAGAATCTTCATACCCTCATCTATCTAGGCCACCCCTGGGCAAAGGAAATCTCTATCCACTAGAATTTTATTGAAGAAAAAATAACCCTGACTTAAAAATTTCACCGAAAAAGTTGAAATTTTTTTCCGCTGAAACTTTTCCCATAGGGGTTTTCGAGGGTCCTGATCTCAAATATGATATCCATTTTTGGCGCTGGCGCCAAATTGGCGCCATTTGGCGCCAGTTGGCGCCAAGGGTGTCTTCACCAAATTCGCTGTAAACTTGCGTATGGGGGTTATTTGAGGCCCTGATTACGAATATGACATTCGTTTTTAGCGCTGGCGCCAAATTGGCGCCATTTGGCGCCAGTTGGCGCCAAGGGTGTATTCACCAAATTCGCTGTAAACTTGCGTATGGGGGTTATTTGAGGCCCTGATTACGAATATGACATTCGTTTAAATCGTTACGCATTACCGACCGCCTTTCCTGCTCGCCTGCACCTTCTCACTATTGGATCCAATCAGGACTAACAAGGGGGGTCATCGTTCAGGATGTTGAAAGCTTTTTCGAAACGGTTTTCTGTATGTTATGGGAGCTCATGCGTATACTACGAAACCGAGGTCTATTTTCGCTGAGCGACCGCGGCGCGAACCCAAAAAAGTCGGAAAGTCCCAATTCAATCCCTCATAATAAAAATTTGCATTAGTTGCGCTTCCCAATTATGCCTAAAAAACACCATGAAATAATAATTTTCATAAACGCGCATCAGTAAACTAATTCTTCAGATTCCCCATAATGGCGAAAAAATTGTAGCAGAGAGGCGGCAAATGGCGCCGTAGCGCAAATTGGCGTAGCAAGTGGCGTAACTTCGGCAATCAAAAAATGAATGTCATATTCGTAATCAGGGTCCTCAAATAACCCCTATATACAAGTTTACATCGAATTTGACGAAATTCAGTCAGGGCGCCATCTGGCGCCAAAAGGCGCCAATTTGGCGCCAGCGCCAAAAATAAATCATATTCGTAATCAGGGTCTCAAATAACCCCTATATACAAGTTTACATCGAATTTGACGAAATTCAGTCAGGGCGCCATCTGGCGCCAAATGGCGCCAATTTGGCGCCAGCGCCAAAAACGAATCTCATATTCGTAATCAGGGTCTCAAATAACCCCTATATACAAGTTTACATCGAATTTGACGA